TTGGAAACTAGGCAAAGTTCAGGGTGGGAGAAAAACTCTTGTCAGCTTGAGGCAAGTATGAATGTTGCAGTTTGCCAGCTTGATTAGCACTGAATAGCCTTGTAGCTTCAAAGCCTGGCTGCTTATAGCCTGGGGAATCCTTTGTTGGAAGGTGTTAGCTGGTCCTGACTGTGTCCTGTCTGGAACCCCCGTTTTCTGAGTATTGTCCTTTATTTACTGTCTTGATTTTAGAGCTTTTTAATACTGGTAGATACTAGATTTTGTTCATTTTCATGGTTTCCTTCTTTCTGTTGAACTTGTCCACATGTTTTCGGTGGCTTCTCTGTGTAGTTCTGACATGGTGGCCCAGCATTTCTGTTTTCTCACATAATAGATGGATGTGATTTGTAGTCTTGCAAGGTCTTCAGCTTTATCTGCCAAAGAGTGGCCTTGCTCCCACCAAACTACAGCTCCCAGGATCCCATCGCAATGAGCCAAAGCAGTGAAAGTGTCGTCCAACTGCACTGAAAAATTTAGCTTTGTTGTGGAAACATGGATTGGTGAGAAAGCTTTGGAGACACCTTTTTCCCAAGATAGTGAATTTCCCTTCCCAGGGGTAAATTTCTCTCAAACCATGTGTCTTAACTATGAATCGTTGGGATGTTTGAAACTCGGGGACTACATTATTCATATACCCCATACATTTAAAAATCCCACCTATTTGTGTGTGAATGTAAAAGAAAGGCACCATATATCCACGTCTTTGCACAGTCCTGCCTTAGACATCACGAGCTTGGGACTTCTGCAGGTTAACTTGTCCTGAAAGTGTCCGCTTTTGCTGATTCTTTCAGAACAAGTTATGCTGGGAATCCCGGTTCTATAACAACAACAACAACAACAACAACAACAACAACAATAACAACAACTGGAAAAGCTGACACCATACGAGGATTTAAAGATCGAACTGGAAAGACTCTGGCACAAGCCAGTAAAGGTGGTCCCAATGGTGATCGGCACGCTGGGTGCAGTGCCTAAAGACCTTGGCCTGTACTTAAATACAATCGGCGCTGACAAAACTACCATCTGCCAGCTGCAAAACTAACGCATCATTCGCAGATACATCGCACAGTCCTAGATACCTGGGAAGTGTGATCTGATACAACAGCCAGAAGAATGATCTTTTTTTGGTTGTGGACTCATCTTGTTGTCTTAATAATAACAACAACAACAACAACAACAACAACAACAACAACAACAACAATAATAATTGTGCCAGTATAAGTTTAGGTTTTCTAGGGAAGAGGGGCGAATAATGCTGGGAAACAATTCAAAAGGGTCCAGACTGGATATGAAGGCAAAGATACGGACGCACCCAAGTTCAATTTTAGCTAAACTTGTCCATTTCCTCAGCTGATCTCCACAAACCAATCCTAAAGAGCAAAACTAGGCATCCTTTCTCGGTGAATTTCCTCCACCTAGGAATATACTTTTAGCCTATTATAGTTGTTTATTATAGCTATTATATATATTATAATAATATAA